TCCATCTACTTCTCTTTCCTACTTTGAAAAGGAAATTCTGTAGTAAGCGATTTTTTTCTATTATTTTTTTAATTTTTATTTAATCAGTATACCTCTTTACATTGTACAACATGGCTTTTCCCAGCATGAATACAGTGGATATTAGTCAAGTCAAAGACATCAACAGATAACTTTTCATTTTTGTCTGTGAAGTGTGGATGTGTTATTTCCCTGATGCCCTCCCTCCCATTCTCTCTTACCCTCTTCCTGTTATCCATCCCCTCCTATACCGTCTCCAGTATCTATAGTTGCTCTTCTTGCTATTTTACCTTTTATTCTTTCAGTTTCTGCTTTAGAGTGAAGACACTTGGTATATATTAAGTGGGGACACTCAATGCCTGTCTTTTGAGTCTGGCTTGCTTCACTCAGAGTTAAGGTTCTGTATTTGTTGACTTTGTATCAGTTGTCAGGGTCTCTCATTTTTAGTAGTAGTATTCCATAAAATACATGTGAGATTCCCCCCATCCTCCCAAATGTCATTCTGGTTCACATTCTCTTTTTTTTTCTTTTTTTTTGGAGAGGTTTTTGCTATAGGGCGCATGCGCTCGCCAGACAGACAGAGAGAGACATAGAGACAGAAAGCGAGAAATCACCCCCCAGGGGGGATGGTCACGCCGCAATCCCTTCTCCTCCATTCTCCTCTCGGGATCTTGGGCATGCACGCACACGCGCCTGGCGTGAGTTTTAAGCCACCGGGTCCAGGATGCGAACCGCGGTCGACTACGTGGGAGTCCAGCGACATAGCCATTACGCTAACTGCTGGTTCCCTGGTTCACATTCTCTGAAAAGGTCCATTTTTTTTTTAACCGCAAGTCAGCTCTGCTTTTATTCATTATTGTACCTTGATCTGAATAAAGGATTGTCTCCTTGTCTGAAATGCATGACATTTCTTGTTTCTGTTTTGCCATATTTCAGAGAGCTAGTACTTTTTTCTTGTATCCTTGAGGTTGAAGTCTAATGTTTATACTCTTGTTCTCTAGCTAGTTGTATTTCAGTGTTTCATTGATTGTGTCTAATCCTGAGTTATGAGCCTTTATTTTTTATATTTTCAGAGCAAGATTCTGTTTGTTCATTGGAACTTTTATTCCTGAATTGAAATATAGAAATACTGTTCATTTAATGTTTATCTTTTTTAGTTCTATGGAATTTATTATTTCATGTTATCTGTTTTGTGAACAGGCGATAACATAGCATGAATTGCTGCAGTAAGGAAGCTTGCTGATTCAAATTAATTTTCCTTATCATTCAATTTCAGTAGAGAACTTTGCTTTATTAAAAAAGTATTAAATAGCATAAAAATAGTGTGAACTTCCCCAAATTAGAAAATTGTAGGGCAACCGTAACAAAGGGAAAGTACCTTGCATGTTGTCATGTGTTTGGGTTTTAGTGTCAGTAAAGCCCTGAGAGTGGTGTACAGTAGGGTCAGAGGGACATTAGTTTAGCAGAGCCAGATGGTTTCTGCTTGGGTAGCTGCAGCTCAGCTGAGCTATTCAATAGGAATCAATGAAATAAGTCCTGCACGGTAAACCACTGAACGTACCATGTACCAAGGGTAGGCATTTGGCAGAGGAAACAAGTTGGTAAAGTGAGAGTTGGATAGAGTTAGGGTAAGCATAGGCTGTTTTCTACCGTATTTTATTCTTTTTATGTATATATGCATGAATTCGACAAATTTTGTTTTTCAGCACCTTTGATTATGTAAGCAAATTAAGTAACACGGAGTGATTTAATTTGCTTTATAGCTTAAAACAATGAGTTACTTCGATATAATTATTTTATATTTATGTTAGAAAAATTAAACCCTTAAAGGTCTTTTTAGAGATTTTTTTTTTTAAGAAACCAAGCTTTATTGCCTTCATAAAACCTATGATTATATATCTCAACATAACTTGCTTATTGGTGCAATTAGTGACTTTCTGATAGCATGGAGAACAGAAATCGTTTTCATTGGAAAGAGATTCGTATTTGAAAAATATATATTCATGCCATTCTGATAGCATGGAGAACAGAAATAGTTTTCATTGGAAAGAGATTTGTATTTGAAATATATTCATGTCATTAAGTAAACCTAGTTATCCCACTCCTCCCCCCCCCCTTAGGCAGTGATGTTGCTGGTGTTTGTGGCCTTTTATTTTGGTTATTTACAAGATAAGACATAATACATAATGCTTTATTTTGGTTATTTACAAGATAAGACATAATACATAATGCACATGGGCTGCAATTTCTAATTTTAGATAAAACTTATCAGTGGAAATGTACCATTCTAGTCACTCATAAAATTTTTACATTTGCCATAGTTTAAAATTCTTGTTTACTTACTGATTTGAGTCTTAAAAATTACACGTTTTATAAAATGATCTTCTTCAACTTTCTATTCAATTTGGCTCTGCATCCAGTTTATATGAATTACTAAACCTAGAGCGTATTAGTAAATGTGATTGTTAAATTATGAAATTAAGATTAAAATAAGTTAACTATGTGTAATTTTATACATGCAGCTAAAGATGTGAGAAAGAAAGGACAAGGGAAGACCAGAAGTAAAGAAGTAGATAAATTGATCAGAAACCAACAAACAAATAATAGGAAGCCAGAAGAAAGAAGGCTAGAGCAAAGGCACCAGGAAACAAGAACTGAGAGAGAAAGAAGATCAGAAAAACACAGAGATCAAAATTTAAGAGATACAAATTGGAGAGATTCAGTAACAAAATACCCGTCAGACAGAGGTGTTCCTTTTGAACGAAATAGTTACAGTAGAGTTGTGAATGACAGAGACCAAGAGATGCATATTGACTTGGAAAATAAGCATCGTGATTCTCATAAGAAGAGGGGAGAAAGGAGAGATTCTTTTTCTGAAAAAGAGAAACACAGGAACCGAAACAAGGACAGTGAAAATATTAGAAGAAAAGATAGATCAAAGTCAAAGGAAAGGAATAGAAAACATTCAGATTCTAGAAGTGATGAAGATAGATACCAGAATGGTGCTGACAGGCGGTGGGAAAAATCTAATAGATACTCTGAACAATCCAGAGAATCAAAGAAAAATCAGGATCGACGAAGAGAAAGGTCTCCGGCAAAGCAAAAATAATTCCATAAGTCACGATGGAAACTGGACATGCCTTATATTCATTTGAAACAAATTATTTTTTACATCGATTGACGAACTTTATAGGGAATTCTTGTATAAAGTACAGGTTTGTATTTGTAAATTTTAAACTGTTTTCACTTCAACATGTTTTATAATTGATGCAGCTCCAGGACCTCTACGTAAAATTATTTGAAAAGAAAATTTTCACCAGAAAGGAATGTAAGTCTTGCTTATATTTTGTAAATAAAATGATCAAATGCTCATTGCATCAGTGTTTTTTTTTCATTGACAAAGTACTTTTTCCTGATGATGTTTCAAATTGTCTACAAAGCTATTATAATGAATTATTACTGACTTTCTATTTATAACTGATGACCATGAAAGATAAACAATTTCAGTTTAATATTTTTGCTTTGTAATGGGAAGTTATGAATCTTTTTCTGGTGATCACCCTTTAAGTAGAAGATTTATTACAATGTCTGTATTATGTCTTGAACAAAATGGTGTATGGTTTTCAGCAAGTGTTTGGTGAAGCTAGATGTGTATTACTCTTTAAACCAGTACACATTTAATTATTAATAGTTGGGACTTCTCTCATTAGTAACATTTTTTCTCCTTGCACTATGGGATGACATTTCATTGAAATTCTTTTAGTTTAGTGTTTTTTCAAAGCCTTGATATTATATCATTGATGGTGAATTAATATGAATTTAATTTTTAATTTGGATCAATAGGTCCTTAGAAAACATAGTCATGAGACATATGAACAACCTAAATGAAATAATTTAAATTTTTGTTAAGAATTTTTACAGGGGGCCAGCAGGTTTTCCATGGACTACAACACAGCCAACTGTAGTTTGAGTCCCAGACCTGCTGGCTTGCTTTCTCACTTTCTCTCTGTCCCTCTCTGGTCAAATTAAAATAAATAAATAAGTTAAAATAATTTTTAAAAAAGAAAAGAAAGAAACCTAGAGAGCCACTTTAAAAAAGAATTCTTAAGGGTTTCTATCATTTAACTTTTCCAATTATATGCAACCGTATTTTTTATTTTTATTTATTTATTTTTTTGAAGAGGTTTTTGCTATAGGGCGTGTACACTCGCCAGACAGACAGACAGAGACAAAGAGATAGAAAGCGAGAAATCACCCCCCAGGGGGATGGTCACACCGCAATCCCTTCTCCTCCATTCTCCTCTTGGGATCTTGGGCACACACGCACACACGCCTGGCGTGAGTTTAAGCCATCGGGTCGAGGACTCAAACCGCGGTCGACTATGTGAGAGTCCAGCGACATAGCCATTACGCTAACTTCTGGTCCCCATATTTTTTTATTGGTTTTGAAATAAAATATTGTCTCTGAGATTTGCTGACTGAAAATTTTATCCAATGTCTGGGTTCAAGAATATTACAACATCATAATGTTTCGCTTTCAGGCATACCCTTAATTCAAAATATTTTCTGTTTTTATTGTTTAAAACTCAAGTAATAGGGAACAGTAGATGGCGTAATGGTTACATTTCTAGACTCCCACATGGCCAAGTGTGGTTCGAGTCCTGGACCCAGCAGCTTAAAACTCACGCCAGGAATGTGTGTGTACTTGCCTAAAATCCTAAGAGGAAAATGGAGGAGAAAGGATTGCGGTGTGGCCATTTCCCCCGGTAGGGACTGATTTCTTGCTTTCTGTCTTTATGTCTCTCTCTGTCTCTGGCAAGTATATGCACCCTATAGCAAAAATCTCTCTTAAAAAACCTCAAGTAAAAGTAACAGTAAAGTCCATATAAATGAGTATTATCCTTTTCCTACCCCACCCCCTGAAGGAATATTAACTGAATATGACAGTTGGAAAAATTATTTTTAGCATTTTCTCCTACCTTGGTGGTTAGTAAGTGGTGAGTGTCATAGAAAGGACTGCCATAGATTGCATTTTGCAGAAATGTGAACTGAGTAACCTGAGTTTAAGAACAGAACAGGAACCAGCATGAGGAAATGCACAGTTTTGCCTTCAAAATGCATGTTTATGGCATCAACTATATTGTCTATACTATCTGCCATTCAGGCAGACATTTCACCTTTATTCTTTAATATACAGACAAGAAACATGTTGCCTGTGTTTGTTGTTTCTAATTTTTTATACTATTTTTAGAATTAGCTTTTCTTCAGAATCAGCTGAGTTCTAGATATTTTGTGTGTATTACTCATTATTTGTTAAGTTGGCAACTTCTTTGCCTCCGAGCAAAAAAGTTCTATTCCTCTGTCCCTCCTGTCTTCCTACCATCTTTTCCCTTGGTATCTCCTTTGTGGTGACTTCGGAATCCACAACATCTCTGAAATCTCTCCTTGAAGCAGGACACTTTGACCTCTGCCTGTCCAGCTCACCCACTTAGTACTGCTCAGCTCTAGTAATTTTCACCTCCTCAAAACTTCTGAACCACTGATTTATAGTCAGTTACCTACCTTTCATTTCTTCAGTTCCCTCCTTCCATTACCTATCATATGAATAGATGAATAAACAAATCAACTCATGCAAATTTTTTTTAAGGTTTAGCCTTAGGGTGTGTGCACTCACTGGAAAAAGAGACCGAGACAGTGAGAGGAAAAGTGAGAAATCACCCCCCAGGGGCATTGGCCATACACAGTCCCTTCTCTTTCCAGGATCTTGGGCATGCATGCATACACACCCTGTGTGACTTTGAAGCCACTGATCTGGGACCTGAAGCACAATTGGCCATGTAGGAGTCTAGTTATTTAACTGCTATGCTATCAGCTGACGTCTCATATAATTCTTTCAAAACGACCCTATGTGAATTTGTAGCATCTCCTCCAACAACAGGAGACCAAAGTCCAGAGAGGTTAATTGGGCTCAGACCACAACCTTGTTAAGGAGCAGGACTTTGGTCTCAAAGCAGAACTGGAGAATGGAGAGAAGCTTGAATAATACTGGAGTATCAGCTTTGTGAACTTAGGTGATGTATTTCACTTTTCTGAACTTCAGATATGTTTTTAAAAGGTATTGTGCCTACCTTCCCCAGTCATAGAGATGATTTAATGCAATTATGAAGTCAAAGGCCTAGTGGTATTTAATACCAAGTGGAATGCAACAAATACTCGTTTTTCTTTATCTCAGCATGCAGCACAGGCTAGAAGAAAATTCAGGTTCATTGACTGGCTCATTATGATTGCTTTGTTTCATCCCACCTGGAATAGCACTTACTACTAAAAACAAACAAAAATGTCCAGAATTGTCTTAAAGTTGCTTCACAGAACATTAAGGGGTTTTTCTGGAGTCAGGGTGTAATGGTAATTCTCTATCAGCTTTCTTCTATCATAGCACTTCTTTTCCAGGTATATGTATCCTTTTAGTTCCAGCAACCTGCTTCTACCACTTACATCACATTTCTCAAATGTGTTATCAGAAGGAAAAAAAAAAGGTTTTGGTTATCATAGTTCGAGTATATTTTTGGTTCTTTAACACTTTGTTTACATCATCTATATTTTTATTTTATTGACATGTTTTTTTTTTCTCCCCTAATTTTTGGTTGTTTTCATGTTTCAAGATTTCTTTTCAGCTCCTTGATGCTTTTCTTTTCTTTTTCTTTTTTTTTTTTTTTTTTGAAGAGGTTTTTGTTATAGGGCTCATGCGCTCTCCAGAGAGACAGAGACAAAGGCAGAAAGCGAGAAATCACCCCCCAGGGGAGATGGCCACGCCACAATCCCTTCTCCTCCATTCTCCTCTCGGAATCTTGGGCACGCACATACACGTGCCCTACGTGAGTTTAAGCCACCGTGTCTGGGACTCGAACCACAGTCGGCTACATGGGAGTTCAGTGACATAGCCATTACACTAACTGCTGGTACCGATGTTTTTGTTTTCCAATCCAATTGTCACTTTAAGAAAAAAATTTTATAGGGCATGTACGCTCACCAGAGACAGAAACAAAGGGAGGAAAAGTGAGAAAGCACCTCTCGGTGGCCATGCCATACCCTTTTGAGATCTTGGGCATGCATGTACAAGTTCCTGTTCTATTTTTCATCTAGGGCTCAAACCATGTAGTTGGCCATGTGGGAACCAGCCACCCTAACCATCATGCCACTGGCTGGTTTGCAATTATTTTTTCAATGTACTTAAATGTCTTTTCTGTCTGATCCTTGAAGATATTTTATTCTGTTCCCTGGATATTCTTCAGAATATTTTGCTAGTCAAGCCAAACAACATTCTTTATATGCGTTGCTATGTGAGCTCAGAGTGCCCTGTGTGTTCCCTTGATATGGACGTGTTCACATTACCCAGTTGGAAGCCTACCACCTTTTCGTAGGGTTCTGTTCTCCAAGTAGAACATTGGTTTCTTGAGGTTAGTCATATCTATTGCATTTTATGTTTATTGCAGAAAAATGCAAGGCCAAATCTTAACACTGCTACCTGCCCTCCCCACCACCCCAAACCCAAGCTTTATGGTAAAGAATTTAACTTGAGTTCCCTTTAGATAGCTGTACACAGGTAGAAGGAGAAAGGAGATGCTCAGCTACCCCAAGTCACAAAGGGGTATGCTTGTCTGTGTATATCCAGAAGCTGAAGTGAAAGTGCTTGCTTGTAGAAATACTCAGGTTCTGGGAGCCAGCAGATGGTATAGTGGTTAGGGTGCTGGACTACATATGGCTGACGGCGACTCAGCAGCTTGAGGATCATGCTGGGTGTGTGTGCATGTGCATATGTGCCCAGAGTCCTAAAAGATAGTGGGGCGGGTGTTTCTCTCTCCAGCATACACACATGCTCTATGGCAAAAACAAACAAAACAAAAAAGTAAACACCTTAAGAAATGAAATACTCAGATGATTGATATACGACAATTGATTACCATTTAATTTTAGTACTATTCATCAACTGCACATTAAGTCCAACTGAGTTTTGTACACCTTTACCATTTGCTATCTCTGGACAGGTTTAGGTAGGTTCTTTAACCCATTCGTTTTCTCACTTTTCCAGTGATACAGTACTGTACTCTCCTGAAATGTTGAATATCTGTTGCATACTTAGAACCATGCCCATAACCAAGTGCTCACTGTTATTACTGTCATTTTTTTTTTTAACTATTTTGATCATTTTCACTAAAGCTGACATAGTACCATTAGACCAGGAATTGCAAATTCAAATCCTTACAGGGGCCAGGTTGATAGCTAAATGAGACAAATTGAATTGGAAGGTGAATTGGAGTCAATTATAGACAGTGACACTTGCTCAGCCTCTATTCAGGACTGCCTGTAGAAAT